CAACAGAACAGGTTCCTCGGTGAGACTCGCGAGAGGTCAGAAGTCATTTCACGAACGATGGAATTCTAGAGCGCGACGTTTATCGTTCGTTTCTGCCCATTTTGCGTTCTAATAAGTCTGTTCTGTAAAAAAAGAAAAAAATAAAACACCTGTCGATTCCCTTTCTTTTCCCCTCGTGCATCGCTTCTTAATCGCTAAACGAAACAAAGAAACAGGAAAAAGAAGATTCTTCCATTCTGAACCACACGTTGTCCATTCTAAAGTTGACACGCAGCGTATAAAACATATCTTTCATACATATATACGATATATGTATATATATTTACTTTTTCTTCCCTTTCCTGATTCATATATCTAGTTGCTTCATCCAGTATTCCTGTTTCACACGCTGTATATTAATCGGTGGAAGAAATACGGCTGTAAATTAAAGGATTAAACAGAGGAACCGATATTTCACGTTTCTCGATTGGGACTGAATCAAAGTTGAAGCTTCGACTTCGCTTTTCGGGCCTTCATCTTCTCAGGTTTTTGTTGACTTAACGCTTGCAAATTTCAACGCCTGACGGATATCTCACGATCACGCCATATTTCTTCCATCGACTATACGGTGTGTCTTCTTTACGCGCTAGCAAGGATTAACAACCGATACTTTTCTGCGCCTCCTCCTGTTTCTTTCTTTTCTTTGTTATCTGTTCTCCTCCAGACTCGCGACGCAACGCGACACAACCAAAACCACAACGCCACGTCGACGGTTTCTAAATAAATAGCGTCGGCCTCTTCGAAACGTTTCGTCGAGATTCAACCGGAAGGAGAGAAAGGGACCGTTTATCATCACACGTGGCGATGCTTTCTTGTTTTCTTTTTATTTCTTTTCTACTGCAATTTTCGGATGGACCAAGGTGTGTTGTTCCTTAAAACGAACGTTCGGTCTCTGCGGTCACACGAATTTTCGCGTTTTTCATTTTTCTTTCCTTTCACGCGTAATGCCGTCGTCGTCGGAATCATTACGATCCCCGATTCACGGCAAGAAAAAAAATATATGTACTTATGTATGTATATACTTATATACGTATATTTATATATAGAGAGAGACGCGTTGCACGGCTGTGTTCTCGCGATTCTTCAATTAAAACATCGATCACGAACCCCGAACGTGTTCTGTCATGAGAACTTTCTCACAGTCGAGGAGGAGAATTCTTCTCTCTTTCTTTTTTCCTTTTCCCCCTATTCTTCACGCACCGCGACACAAAAGTGACTCGAGCTGCCTCATCGAGATCGATTATCGTATATGTGTGTGCATATATACACAAAACCCACGCACGCGCGGACACACATATACATCCTTCTCGTTATCCTGAAATTCGCGAGTTACAGAAAAAAAAACCGTGTATCCCTGTCTCTCGTGTATTGTTCCGTTACCTTCGTTTTCTTTTTTCTTTGCTCTTGGATCTATCCTCGCCAATCTGTCGCTTACCCGTATAGTACGCGTTAAGCAAGGTGTTGCAAGTTGTTACATCTAAAATATCATTCTTCGGTAGCTGCGAGAAGGACAACTTGTAACATCGAACACTCGGAACACCCTGTGTATATACCCACGATTTCACAATCACGGATTTCCTCGTGCTGTCTCGTCCGCAACGCGCGAATTGTCACCTAATCACCTGATCGCGTAACGAGCATCCGTCGATTTTTATTTGCTCCTTTTTTCTTTCTTTCTTTCATAAAATCACATCCACGGTTCGCTCTCTCTCTCTCTCTCTCTCTCTCTCGTACTGCCACCGTTATTCCGTTAACCTAGGCTTAAAAAGTAAAGAGCGGCCAGCGTAATCGGTCGCTGGGCCCAAGTGAATCGGTTTATTCAACGTATCAACGCTTTGATTCGTTTTTTTGTCAGTCTGTGCTCTCCTAGTCCATGACGAGTTAAAAACAAAAAGGAAGAAAAAAAATCACAAAGAGAACAAAGAAAAAAAAATAGGAGAAAATAAAAAGGAAGAAACGAAAGAAGAAAATGAAAGAAAAGAGGGGAGGAAAGTCGAGAAAAGAGAGGGAAATATAAAACGTGCGTGTGTGTGTATATATATATGCATAATACGTATATATATATGTATAGGTGTAGAATTGTCCAGGCCGTCTATAGAGATGGAATTAATTATGGTAACAGCTTTTTGAGGGGGGTTCGATAAAGCGTGATTCACCGTCCGTCTGTCCGCGAATCAATCGTGAAATGCATTATAAACGTGCTAACGCGAAACGCTAGCAAATTATTAAACGGGGATGCTCTGAACACGACAAACGTACGCGCTCTCGCGTCTTTTGTCTCTTCCTTTCTTTCTCTCCTCGATATACATTCTTTATCACTTTTCATCCTCATCTTCTATCTCTTCCCTCTATTTACTCGTCTGTTACTCTCTCTAAGAGAAGTCCATGCTCGATTCTTCCTTACGTTCTCCGCTCTTTCGTTCTCGTTTTTTACATCAAGTCTACGCACACGAGTGGACGTAGTCTCGTTTAAAAGGAAAGAAATTCGTAGGTGTCGCTTGTACCAGTCGTGCGTGAGATCGTCAACTTTTCTTGTTCGTTTTCGTTTTTCTTTCGCTTCTTCGCTTTCGAAGATACGGAGAGAAAGAAAGGCGTTACCGTAACGCGTACTTCCACGTTGAAGACACGAACAATGCGACAACGTAGATTTTTGCTTAAGTCTAACGAACGACAGTACGGTTTCCTCTACGGTCTTTCTTTTTTTTTATATTTCTCTCTTTTGCACGACGAGATTCGAAAAAGTCTGGCGAAATATTATCTCTATACGACGTCTATGTCCTCTCTCTTTCTCTCTGTTTTTCTTTCCATTCGTTTTCGCATTTTTTAACCGTTGTTTCCTTCGACGAGTTTTTTTCTTTTCTTTTTATCAATAACATTATAGTAGGCAGTGTTCGTTGAGAAACTGCTAGACAGGAACACACGCGCGCGCACGTACACACGCTCAACACGCACGCACACATACACACACACAGACGAATCTTCGATAGAAATTTAGTGTCTAAATAGAATATTATAGCACGGCGTTTCCTTTTCCTTCTTTCCTTTCTATATTTTTCCCGTTCGTCATCCACATCGGAATTCGAACAAATCTGTTGTGATCATTGGACGCATATATGTGTACGTTCTATTCCGTGATCGCTTGGAACGGAATGCGTGTTTCTTTTCTTTTTGTCCTCTTTGAAGAGTTTCTTTTTTACGTTCACGCTTTAACAGAAGAGAGAATGCGTCGTACTAAAAAAATATACGTATTATATGCTTATCGGTTTCCGTTTTTTTGTTTGTTCTTTCCTTTTTTTTTTTGTTTTTTTTTCTCTTTCTCGTATCACGTGGAACATCCAGCCGCGAGAATTTTTCGGGGCCCGCGCGATCGATACTCTTGTACGATCTTGACCACCGTTTGTAATATAGGAGCGTGTGTCGCGCTGATAAAACGATAAAAAGAAACACTGTGTCTTCGTCGCCGTCGCCGTTGTCGTCGTCGTCGTTGTCGTCTCTACAGTCGTCGGTAGTGATCGTCTGTCCGGTATTTAAAGTAAGATTTCAAACAAAGCGATCGTCAACGAAACACCGAGAATTTCTTTCCTTTGGAAATACGATGGGCACTACGCTACTTACGCTCCAGATGAAACGACGACGATTGTAGCGATGCACGTGTTTACTATAAAATCAATAGAGTTCCAGTGGAAACGATCGACCGTGCGACACCGTGATACACGTGTCGAAAAAAACAGCGCTGATTGAGACAGTTAGTGAGCAGTAGTTATAGCAGCGACACATTTTAGAGTAATAATTGCAACAGCAGCAGCAACAGTAGTAGCTGTGACTCTCTCTCTCTCTCTCTCTTTCTCTCTTTGGATGTGTCTGTGTGTATAGTATGTACGTTTGTTTGTGTGTGTCTGTGTGTACGTGGTATATAGGTGACAGTGACGTACTGTTGATATATTTGTATTCGTTGCGTGTTGCGGAGTCGAATCGCTTGTTCTTGCTTTTGTTTTTTTCATTTCTGCCGATGGATTCGTGATTTTTTTGGTTTGTTTTTGTTGTTGTCTTTTTCTTTTCGTTTCTTTTCTGTTTTCAGTTAGACGACGAGGCTCGTTCTCACTGTGTGTGTGTGTGTGTTGACGACAGGCGCGACCAGAGTCCTCGGGTCTGGCAACCGGAAGAGAAGGTCCCAACGATCGCCGCTCGATCGGCGATCAACGAGATTAAAAGTCCACCGGTAGCGTGGTACATCGGACGATTTTCATCAGAAATGTCACATTTATGCGGAATCACAGTATTACGCAGCACCGGCAGTATCGTTGCCGGGACGCACCAGCGCTTGGTGGTGGTGTAACTGGTGCAAAATACGCGTGGACCTTGATGTTTGGCAAATGCGTCTGGAACAAGGAAATTCCAAGTGTACGTTAGCGTAAAAGAAAATGTTTCGTTAGCGTTCATCGTTTAAATAGTGTTTTACTAGTTTCACAACGGTGACAAATATTCCTTCTAGATACGTACTCTGAGCCTACGTATGCCAGCTCTGGTGATCAGTTGACAATCGTATAGCTCGATGCGTTGAAGATTGTGGCAGGCCTGCAGTAGGTGATCCAGACTCGCGTCTGTGATGAGGGGGCAGTTGTCCAGCTCTAGTGCCGCCAGGTGTTCAGCTGCACACGGCGAAAGGGCCAATTGTCGAATGCCTTCGTCTGTGATTAGCTCACAATGGGACAGACTCTGTGCTCCACAGTCAACGAGATTCGATCTTTCAGAGTGAATTTTATCCAGAAAGAATGCGCTCTAAAATCACTCTTCGAGTTTACTCACCAGTTTCTCCAATCTGGGACAGCCCATGCCCAGATGAATGAGGGTGGCGTCTGTGATTAAAAGGCACTCTTCCAGATCCATCTTCTCCAATAGTCTGCAATTCTGACGAAATCAAGAGCAACGTGTTTCAATGAGAGAGAAAGAGCGAGAGAGAAGACTGGACTATTTCAACGTAAAGTAGATCTCGTCAAGGATAAAACTCACTTTTGCGAGAGCCTGAAAGCCCGCGTCGGTGAAATGAGTGCAAGCCACGCATTCGAGAATGCTGAGGAGTGGACAGTGTTGCGCCAACGTGACTAAGGACGCGTCCGTTAGATTAGGACAGTTCGATAGGCAAACATAGTGCAATCGTGGACATTGTTCACTGAGTTCTCTCACTGCGTCGTCTGTTATATTCTGCAATAGACCCGTTTTTCATCAATTCTCATCTAACGCGAGATCACCGAGCCTTGCGGCGAATTTCTTTCTTCTTCGTCGCAACGCTCAGCTAACACTAAAGTCTCTACCGCTCGTATTATAACGATTGTGCGAGAGAAAGCAAAATGATACGAGCGCGAAAAGACAAGGCTAATTCGTATCCGCAACTACCCTGCATTCGTGTAGATTGATCGCCTCCAATTTGTGGCAGTTTTGGGCCACACACATGACAGCTCTGTCCGTCAGCTGACGGCAGCCTTTGCAGTGAAAGCTACGTAGCTCGTTGCAACCCTTGGCCAACGCCTCGATTCCGTTGTCGGTAAGCAACTCGCACCAGGACAGGTTGATGTGAGTGAGAAGCTTACAGCCCAGGGAGAGATCCGTGAGGGAGTTGTCCGTTATCTCAGGACACGAGTCCAAGTTCAGCCGTTGCAGTTTCAGACAGTGTGCCCTGAGCGCTCCGCAAGTCGCGTCTGAGATCTTTTTGCATTGGCTCAGGTTCAGTTCCTCGATGTTCGGACAGGCTCTGGCCAGACAGAGCATAGAACTGTTCCCGATGCTCTGACATCCCCTGAGGGACAGCTGTCTCAGGAAACCGCCGCATCGATTCGAGATATTCTCTATCACCTTTTCCTGCATTTCGAACAGTGTCCCCGGTTAGCCACCAATTCCCATACCAAACCCTCGCGTCCACGCGTTGCTTACCACGTGAATTTCGACCGCGACTAGTAACGCACAGGTACTCGAGAGAGGATAACAGCTCTCGGAACTATTTGGTTCACACCGGGGATGGTAATGGTAAGCAACGCGTTAAGTTGAAAAGTTTCGATTTACCTCCACGTCCCGTTGGAAATGAAAGAGATCGATCCTCTGCCAATTGGATCCGTCTAGCGCCAACACGTTCCAGGCTTTGCTTACTTGCGCGCACCGGCATAGCGATATCACGTCGAGATACGATAGAATTCTGCCAATAGTACGGCAATTATGTTACTCGTTTGCCTGACACACTCGCGGTGACGATTCTTCGAATAAAACTCGCGGTTTCTCCAGTGGAGAGAGAGGGAGAGAGAGAGAGAGAGAGAGAAGAATATATGTATATATACACACGTAATAGAAAGTTAAAAAAAAAAGATATTACATCTACGGGGTAAATTAGACCTACCGTGACAAAAGGAAAACAGAAACTAAAAAAAAAAAATTGATGTGTAGGTGTTACGATACCTAAGCAGCAATTCTTTTGGCAGTTTCTTATTAATCTGCGCCTCGTCGTCATGAAACACCCATGTTAGCTGGAACCAAAAAAAAAAACAAACGAACCCAAATGTATTCGCCTCGAGACAGAGGGATGGCTTTCTTTTTCGTAAATTCGAAACAGGTGTGAACGAATACAAGGAGAGCAGGTCTAGAGGCATCGCGAATGGATCTCAGCATACGCTTAAAGTAGGTAAACGATGAGAGAGAGAGAGAGAGAGAGAAAAAAAAGAGAAAAAAAAAGAAAGAAAAGAAGAGACACGCACACACACCACGCACACAGAAAGAGAGACAGGCACAGACGGGGCGCGAGAAGAAGCATGGAGCAAAATTGTGACGATATGCGTGCTTCAACGAACAAGTTGACCAACCTGCATATAAGACTGCTTCATGGTAGTGACAGGATTGTTGTGAGTGGTGTGGGATTGCGACGTGTAATAACCGGCCTGATGATGATAATGGTGATGATGTTGGTGATGATGATGGTGATGGTGATGATGATGGTGATGATACGACGGATGCTGCTGCCTCCACCATTGACCACTTGCACCGGAATCCTCGACCGGTTGCACCCCTTGCCCGACCTGGCCCCCTCCTCCTACTCCCACGCGATTTACTTTTTTCTAAAACAACGCATCACACTGACGTGATTGTACTGATCGTTACCTGATCCACCTGCTCTTATCAAATCAACCATCATCATCGATCGCCGCTTGTTACTTTTTTCTTTTCCTTTTGAACAGAACCAGAAACTGTTACCGAAACGTTTCCACCTTCGTTGAAAGTTTCTCGCGGAACGAACGACGAGGGCGATAAAAGTGCGGGTAGAGAGAAGGGCCACCGTTTGTTTTTCACGGTGAAAAACCCAAGGGGGTGTCCGGGGGAGGATGGGAAAAAGTGCGTGGTGAACGTGGAATAAAATCAGAGTGGAAACTCTGCGTGGGTTATAGTTAACGTAGACATTTCACTTTATTTCTTTACTTTTGTTGATAAAATATGATTATTTTAAATACACTTCATGGTCACAAGTCCAAGTAAATCCCACAGACACGATATGGCGAGTAACGTAAAAATTAGTGGAAAATGTGGGATATTTATTGTATACGAAGCTTGGTTTTTGGGGAGACGGGAAGGTTGTGAATTAACGCATCAACCCTCTAAATCCGCTGGTGTTTCAAGCCTGTAGAATTTTTGCCACGGTTAAAATAGTCTACTTTATACTTGGATTTCACGAGTCCCACCTCGGAATTAGAGGGTTAAGTAACAGCACCGTTCGATTCGCTAACATTTTCCACGATCTCCTTCGTTCTTTTCCTTTTTCTTTTTCAACACGATATGTACAAGAGATTAATGCCCGTGGACAATTCACAGTCGCTAAGGCAAACGTGAAGTACGAATCGAAGCGGTGCATTGAACCGCGTCGTTCGATCGATTTTCTAGGCATAATTAATAAACAGTTAATTGCATCGGTGGGTAGATTTAAAATAACGTTTCTCCGGCGCGTTCTAAACCAACGTCCAAGAGAATATGGAACGTTCCGTTTGGATCAATACGAGATCCCGGTATATCGATCTCTCTATAAATACCTGTTCGTGGCCGGAGATTTTTTTCGACGACTATTTAAAAAGCGATTCGATCGTGTGAGGTTGCAACGATCTTCGTTCAGATCGGTAGATAAATCTGCGGAGAAGGGAATATCGGGGATTGGAAGGTAGGTGGGAAAATCGATGGGCTCTGGTCGAAAAGTGGAACAAGTGCAACAGTTTTCCTCCGCTTCTCGTAGATTCGCGGGACAAATTGCCACCGATCGACCGAGAATTTCCCATGGAGTTGCGAAAGCGCGCTCGAGGCCGCCGCTCAAGAGGCCGTGCACCCCGCTATTCATCCTCCACGCCGACCAAAACTTTAGAAACACGCGACACAGCGCATCAGAGCGGTCATCACGCGGCCACGGTCAACCGTTTTCCAAATTCTCCGCCTTTTTTCCCACGTCCTTCCCAACCAAATCCATCTTCTCTTCTTTTCTCCCCCGCGACAATAGATGACACATCTGAAACTCGCGAATTACCTCGCGAAAACGTGAGGAATGGAAGTATCGTTTTGCAATACTACTACATTGCCACTGGTAGCGAGGAATCGTTACCCCTCCTGAATCTCTAAAGTCCAATCGATCGTGTCCCCAACATCTGTTCGACGGATCTTCCTTTCTTCCGAGAAACACCGTTGCATAAGGTAACACGAACGAACATCCTCAGGATCGCGTTATACTTTTCGGAATAACAGGCGTCTCTTCTTTCTTTGGCCTTTCATAAGAAAGTCGAACGCATACTTGGTACTCGAAGGGTAAGAACGTCGAGGGGAAAGAGCGAGAAAATACTGGTAAACTTCGTTCGTTCTACCCTAAGAACACAGTGAATGCCGGGAATCGATCTGGCCGTGAGATTTATCTAACCAATCGAACCGTGTTTCGCGATTAGAGCCGATAGTAACACACGGTGCTTGCGATGCTCTCCTAATTCCTCTCTATCGCATTCCCGTACGTTGAAAATATCCTGCTGGAACGTAATCGAACGCAGCAAACGCGTGGAAACACCATGGAAATCGGCACGCGATACGAGAGGGAAAGGGAGAGAGGAGAACACCGATCGATTTATCCATCGAATAACCATTCTCTTCGTAGCGTTTGTCAAACCACCTGGTCCAGTTCATCGTCCAAAAAGATGGCAAATTCTGGGAGCATGAAACGGCATGTGCTTCGATAAATTTACGTATTAGAAATGTCTAAACGTTGTCATGGAATTTCCAACCCGATGCTACGCAGAGCTGTCTTTCGGTCGCTCAACCTTCGATGCTCGCCAAATTAATCCATCAAGCGATGGATTAGTGGACGAGACAGATTCGGCTAATAATAAAATTTCGTGTGAAATGACTTTATAAATATGTCTGCTACAATCAACATCTGCAATTTTTCCAGCACTGCATACTAAGTATACGATTCGTCACTGGTGAAGATATACAACGTACGCGTTAATCCTCGGAAGGCGGATGATTAAACCGACTACGTAAACGGGAGGCGGTGCTTGGGTCCGTTCGGATCCGTAACAACTACATATTACGATTCGCCTTGGAACAAGATTCTTATCGTTATCGCAATTTATTCGACGAATTTCTTAGACATAAACAAAGTGACTTGTTACTCGGGTCCGAACGGACCCAGGCACCGCTATGCGAACGTTGACCCTTCACTTTTTGCATCTGAAACGTTGTCACATTTTTTCCTTAGAACCGCTCCGAATCCCCGTTTTTGCAACATTTTCACGTCGATGCACGTTTTCGAAACGAAAATTGTAAATACGAAAGCTGGAAAGAACGGTGAACACTTTGGTTGACCACGCAAGGGTGAACCGCGTACGATCGAGGGGGTTAGCAGCGAATCGCGACGCGCGCCGTTTCTGTTTATACGCGACAGCGAGGCGGACACGTTCCCGCAGCTAGTTTTTCCCTCCAAATCTGCAACGTGCTCCGCGAGTAATCTGACGTAAACGTCGCGGTAGCCGCGCGACAGAAAAAAGGACTACGGACAATCTCCTTCGGTCCTTCGACGTGAAACAAGGATCCGGAGCGCGTAAAAGTAGCCACACGCAAGTGAGACGTTGTGCAGGGTTGCAGGGGTGGTGGGTGGCGGAGCGAGAGAGGAGAAAGACAAAGACGGTGACGAGAAAAACGGAACGAAACGAACGGTAGAGACGGAGCTGGGAAAATAGTGGATTTTTCGTGGCCACGTTCGACTGGTAATCCGGCGAGAACAACGCACATTGACATTCTAATAGCGCGTAACGATCGTCGAATAAGAAAAAGATGTAGAATAAGCGAGCTAGCGACACGAGCAAGCGCGCGCGCGAGAGAGAGAAAGAGAGAGATGGACCTCGTTGACAACGACGGTATTCCTCGAGTTTGTCACGATGCATCTCCATCTACGATGGATCGAAGTACCGACGTCAATTGATAGGAGAGGAATTCGGTGATGCTGACGGTGAGGACGACGTTCACTATGGGAACAAAGGAAGGACAAGATACGAAACCAAGGGACAAAACACACTCGTACACACGCACAGCACGTACACACACACACGCGCGCGCGCGCGCGCGCGCACGTAGCTGTGCACCACGGAATATCGAGGCACCGTGTGTACCTCGGCTGCGACACTAAACCGAGATGACGACGACGACGATTACGAAGATCGGCGGAGACTCTATGCCAGAAGAAGACGCGAGAAGACGTAGAAGAAAACCGAAGGGGAACGCACAGAGAGAACGCGAACGAAGGTGCAGAAAGAAAGAAAGAAAGAAAGAACAAAGGATGGAGTTGGCTGGTTGTTGGTTGGTCGATCAGAGAAACAGAGACAGTGAAACAGAGAGACTGAGCGAGACAGTTTGTGGATTAGGTAGAAAGAGAGAGGATAGATAGAGCGACGATAAAGAGGTAGAGACAGTAGGCACGAGAGCGAGACGGAGATATACGCGAAATGGTAGCGATGAAAAAGTAAGAAGCCTTTAACTGTCCCCACGCAACAGAGCACGTATTCATCGTGGACAACGTGTTCATCGTGTCTCATCGAGGCAAACAGCCAACGTAGGAGCCGAGAACCAAGCGAGAAAACGTTGCCAGGCATTACAGAGGCCAGGGGAGCGGATCAGCTGTTCGCCTCGGCAATGACAACATTGGACACACGCACGACCCCCCCGTGGTGACTTTGACGCGCGTTTTACACACTCGGCCTCGATTTACTTGTCAGACGATAAGGTCCACTTACCTCGAGCCTGGTACGCCCGGAGTGTATCATCCTTTTGCGTCGCGTTATTTTGCACGGCTTACGGGAACACCCGCACAGTTTCACAGAAAAAAATGTCGCGGCTGAACGAGTTGCTACGCTTCGCGAGAGAAATGGCCGAATCTACTGAATATGAGCCGTGCCGCTGTCATTGGTGGGGGGAAAGGACGACCGATGCATTTTCTCTTGGAACTGGAATCGCTCGATTCTATTGGCTAGCGCGAGCCGACTTGGCGACAACGCCGCCAATCGACAGCCTTCCAACCATTGTTTACACGCTTCTTATTGGATCGTTATTTTTGTGGGAGCGCGACTGAGACATGCACCGTCGACAAATGCAGCAGATACCAGGAGGCGCTCGTGATGCATCCGGGAGACACGTTGTTCGAGAGAGTGTAACTAACTGTACGATCGACTGCCGTTTCTTCAGCGATGCAGCTGCTACTTACTCGTTGCTCCGCGTTTTTATCGACCACTGAGAAAATTCAGTGCCGGGCTATCTTCCCGTTCGACAGTTACGAGTAACTGTACCACAGATGGGTCTTCGTGTATCAGGAAACTGTAATACCGACCGAGATACAAGGTAGACCTTGCATCTTATGGGACTTTCTGTCCGACGTTTTAGGGCCGAGAACACCCTTACCAATATAATATAGAATAAGGTTACAAAATTAGTAGCGGTTGGAATTGGAATTAAACGTGACTATGAAATTACAAATAAAAAAGTAACGTAATTGTTTATTATCTGCTGTAGTATCACTCAAGCGAAAGATCCTTAAATGCGGTAAATACAATACCTACCCCGATTCGTATCGAAAGGTAAGAGCATCGCGCATTGCACATTTAAACGTTCCAATAAATTCGTTACTTTCGATATTCTATTTTGCAAATTCTTTAATAAAACAACACGTCAAATGTGATTTATTAGTATGTACCTACTAATAAATCTAAATACTGTATGCATTAGTATGTACATTAGTATGTACTTACAATTAATAAAACATCTCCACACGTTAATCAATTAATTCGAAAAGCCGATTTATCAATTTGTTTTCAAAGATAAACCAAATATTAGATGTCCATTTATTATCTACAGTCTTAGTTACAAGACAGAGATAATACTAAACGTATAAAAATCGAGCGGTTTAATTGAACAGTATCATTGGCGTAAACGATATTGACGTACGCGGTTCATTAAGTCTAGCAATTACCTGCATCTGTTCATAATGAAAGGTAAGCGAATCGAACTGTTTTCAATAATTACAAAAAAAAAGGACAAAGGAAAAGAAGTCGAAAAATAAAATATTACAATCGTTACAATATACCGTAATATCCGTTTAGAGTATTTACGGATTCTTCGAGGCAAACAAATTCAAATATAACGACAGATGGACATATTTCGATAGAATCGCAATAACGCGTTTTACCTTTGTCAATTTTAGGTCTCTACTTATTATCGCTGATTGCCGTTATCACGGTAACTGCAAGTGCTGCAGAAACCACGGCCAATCCCTGTATCCTTGTAGAAGGATGTCCATCGGAGAACAGTCTTAACAAGACCATTCATGTTCCTTACGAGGATAATTGTCACAAATTTTACAAATGCAACGCTCGATGTGGATATCTGATGGAGTGTCCACTGATACCAGGTACCACTGAGCGATTGGTCTTCAATCCAACTGCACAAGTTTGCGATTGGCCCGGCAGCGTGCCAGACGTAAAGTGCTCTGCTTCTGAACCATGTGTAGCACCTACACAAATTCAGGACTGTACATTTTTTAAACCATGCACAGCAGGCCTTTTCGAAAAGATGGCTCACGACACCGATTGTCACAACTTTTATCTGTGCACCGACGGACAAAAGATGCCTGTAACTTGTCCGAACGACGAGATTTTCAATGCGGAGAAAAAACAGTGCGAGAAGGCTAAATGTGGATCACAGTGCTACATAACTGGCAACTGCAATTAGCAGTCGACGGTGTAATTAAGGGAACATTCTGGTCTAGAATTAGGGAACATTCTGGTCTTTCAAACAAACCATCGAACCTTTTCGTATGGATTTTGGCACACATGTTTACCGACGTTTGAAGTTTACAAATTATTTTTTTAAAGGAGAAATAATAAAAATTACACGAGTTGTGTTTGTCTTAAGAAAGTTGAAAAGAAAAAAAAACTATGTTGCTGGTGTGCAAAGTAAAGTAGTATGTTGATTGGGACGAGTATGGCCATCGTGGGAACCACGAATAAACGAAAAATCTCGATAATTAAAATAACCACGGCACTTTGAACTTTCAGTATTGATTTTTTCGCACTTTTCTCAGTCTATAGCTTGCTAAAGAACTGTGAAAGAAAAATCAATATTTTTTTAAAAACCGAGGTTTCTGCGATAACGGCACATCTGTTGGAGACTCTGTCGAAATTTGAAGTGAATTGGTGTAACAGAACTTGAGATATCGGGCACACCATTTGAAAAAACGCGTTTAAAGTTTTACGATTGCAAGACTGCGAGCTCTTCGAACAGCTGTAACTTCGTCAATTTGACGAATTCGAACGAATCCTGTTGCAGGCGTATTTTCCAAGGCTTATACTTTAAGAGAGTTAGAGAAAGATCGATTTCTTTCAAACGTCTAGACCAGAATACTCCCTTAACTGTTATACCACATTTATTGTTACCGTTCAATCAACACTTACTGTTCATTTCAGAATGATCAATAAAGTGATAATTCCGTAAAGAGAATAAATACGTCTAAGTTAATTAACCATAGATCACTCTAGAGTTACCTTTTCCCTTTTTCTTCGTTACGTATGAAATGTACATAAGTATCAGAATTTTCGTTTCGAATAAAGTTGTTCGACATAATTTCGATTCGTTTCTATTACAATGTCGTATACAGGAGAAATAATGTTTCGTATGAGAAAGTACACGACCTGATATCTTTGTACAATTAAACGAAATGCATCGGTAGAAAAGCATGCTTAAACTGTAGGTTACTCCCAACATCCCAATATAACTTTTCACCTTATCTGAGTTGTATAATTACCGGTAACTATCGTGTCGTCGTGGTAGTGACAGGTAGTGCTCCGTCATCTGACACGCGACAATTCTTCAACGAGACAAGTGTATACATATATAATACGTACATATGTACCTGCATTCGTCGAGGATGAAATATCTGGAAAATTATCATATAAACGAGATGCAGTACGGATTTCACTTGAGCTCGGTGCTCCGGATATACAATTGGCAGTGAAAAGTGCGAATGAAGAAATGAACAGGTTGGTCGTTGCTTCACAGAAATATAAATATTCGATTGGTGAGAATAAGTTGAAATACGATCTTATCGAAGGTGCATTTTATTATACTGTAATTTGTAACAGTATCAGGTTATACCATCAGTTCTTGCCAAAAGTGAGAAATATTTGAATGAAAATCCAAGGAAATAATGATCTTACCTTTAAAAAAACAAAAAAATAGAAGAAAACTGTGGAAAGAGAAAGAGCTTACTTCTTTTCTTTTTTTTTTTTTTAAAGGTTCGTTGAAAATATCGATCTAAATTATAAAATTCGACAGGAAATTACGGGACGACCTGATGCGTTCATTAATTTCCAAATTTTGTCACGTTTCAACGATAAAAGTTTTCTGGGAAAAAGTCGCTGCAATCTAAATTGGAAGTACCCGAACAATCTAGAGATGAAGAGATTTTGGATAAATTTAATGGAAACTAGATGTAACTAAATGGTCACACGAAGTTAAAAGATTATTAATTACAAAGTAACGTTATCTGCGAATAATCATACATATGTAACGCGTAAAATCTGGTGTGAAAGAAATTACATGATAACTGTTAGAAACGGAAATATTAAACGTGGTACTTATAGTTTCTCGATGTACAAGCTATCCTTCGATAAACGTATCGTGTCGATCAAATTAATTGCGATTAAAATTCTCAACGACCAATAAGAAACGATACTTTTGAATAAGCCAATGTAAAACGATCGTTACTAACAACGATAAGATAATCAATAAAGGAATGATAATGCGAAGGAAAGTATAAAAGTCGATTCGCATTCGTTCACGCATATAAATTCAGTAATTACCTGTTCCTATTCAGAATGAAAGGTAAGTGAATCGAAATGTTTCAATAAATTAATCGCAACAAGGAAACAAGACAAAGAACGGAAAATAGAAGATAAAACGACTGACGGACAATAGGTTGAAATAATACGTAGACCAGATTGCGATGAAATTTTCCTAGATATAATAGAGTGTATTTGGCTTAATGGAAAAAGAGAAGAGAAGAAAAGGAAATAGTATCCACTTACATATGCACATCTAAAGGTTGGTCAGATACAGTTGGAAAAGCGTAATGTTTCGGTACGATTTTCAATCTTTCGAGAGATATTTCAAAGATACTTTCCACAGAAAAATCTTACAAACGTGCAGAAAGAAAAGTTTCAAATTCTAAAATAACGCGTTTTTAAGCAGGAGAAATCTAGCGGACGTTTGTTCGCAAAGATGATTCTTTGGTAATAAAATAGAAGAACGAAGAGAAGAAAACGAAACGATTAACAAGACAATCTAACGGCTATAACGATCGATCCTCGATCGAATGATAAATTCCGATATAATCGCATAGAGACATTTCGATAAATCGCAATATTGCATTTGATCTTTTTCCAAATTTCACATCTGTGTAGGTATTTGAAGATTCTCCAAGTTTCGTTACCAATCGAGCCATTTTTCTTCGAAAATACATCAACGATACGATCTTCGCATATTTTCAACCGATTTTTCCAAACAAAATTTCTCACAACTTACGTTGCCAGACAGTTTCTTCGTTGACATTGTAAAATTTCAAATAACAGAGCTGACTCGGTTCCTCCACCGAGCCGTTCAATAGGCTTCGTTCGATCGAACAATTCAAATATCGCGATACCTAACGTACCTCTCGAAATTTCAGATTTCTACGCATTATCGTTAATTGCCGCTGTCGCGGTAACGGCACGTGCTGCACAAGGTCTGGGCAAGTTCTGCGTCCCGGTACCAGAGTGCCCATTGGAGAACCACAAGAACTATACCATTCACGTGGCTGATCCGTCTGATTGTCACAAATTTTACAAATGCGACAGTGGATGCGGCTACTTGTTCGATTGTCCACTCGCAGAAATGCACCCCTCTGTACGTCTGGTCTTTAATCCAATATTACAAGTCTGTGATTGGCCTGAAAACGTGCCACCAGGAACGTGCTCTGGTACTACACCACCTTCACCAACACCATCTTCGTCTACACCACCTTCACCAACACCATCTTCGTCTACACCACCTTCACCAACACCATCTTCGTCTACACCACCTTCACCAACACCATCTTCGTCTACACCACCTTCACCAACACCATCTTCATCAATACCTCCTTGGGAAAATAGAAACTGTAATATACCTAAAGAATGCCCAAAGAGAGGTAACACATATATTGCTCATGAAAGCGATTGCCGGCGATATTACAGTTGTCAGAATGGAGTGAAGAGTCGTATAAGTAGCTCTTGTCTAAACGGTCATATTTTCAATGCGATCATATCAGCATGTGACGAAATTGCAAATACCGAGTGCTGCGTAACCGGCTTTTATTAGCACTTTCACAGCACACGGTGTAATTCGGAGGAAGAGGTTTTTTTTCCCCCCTATTGCAACGACAATACGTTCGCTGTTGTCGTTCTATTAACACTTACCGTTTATTTAGACAGAATGTGGGATTGTGAATAAAATGATGAGTTCTTTAAGAATATGTTACGTACTTTATTACGGTATCGCAATTATGTACGTTACAAAATTTGTAACTATCTAATAAAACACTGAATATTATAACACATCGAGTATCGTTTATTTATGATTTGAACAACGATAACGAGGAAGCTGATCGATTGGTTCGTTACGAACTCCTCGCAAATAAGTGTGCTTGTAATTCGAAATATTGATTTGTAACGATGGAAGAGGGAGGATTGAATTTGACGTTAAGCAGTCGACAAACTCGATATTTCGAATCATATATATTTTTGTAAATGGTTTATCGTATCTGGTACGAATTTAAAGGCTTACACATACAAGACCGGAAACAACAAGATTTCTATCAGACATCGTATACTTAGCTCACGAGCTAAGTCTTTTATCTTCGCAATCAGGACTTTTCGCTCCCCGAATTCCTGCTCATCCCTTCCGGTTTACGTTACGTCAATTGCTATTCAGAGACTCGACGACTGATTTTCACGGAACGAAAAGAACATTGGAAAACCCCTCTTAACGCCAACTTTTCTGTCACTCTAAAAAAATAAACAAAAGACCCGTGTTGGCTACCGTGATCTCTTAAAAATACCCATATACGTTTATACAAACATTTACATACATGTTAAATACTACTTACACGTTACAATCGATAAGATAAACCGTAAGACGGTATAAAAAAGAGATCTGCTTAACGCGGACAGTATTGGAGCGAATAGCTTTATACACACATTAGTTATCTGTTTCTTTCCATAATGAAAGGTAGGTGAATCGAAATGTTTTTCAATTATCAAATATTAGTTGCACACCGGCAAAACAGGACAAAGAAGAGAAAGTAGAAAAATAATACGGACAAAGAACAATCTAGTTAATATATGTGAGAAAATCCGTCCCGAAGACGGTGAAGCCAGGCTCAGCGCGCTCGGTGGGGACGACTCGCCTCTTTGGGTTTTTCCCTAGGCCTGTTCGCGTAGGGGTGGACAGGGATCGGCAGGAAGACGCGTCCTCACTCTTCACGAGACCCTCGAAGCACACTTTTTGCGAACGACGCTCAGATAACGCGTATATAGACTTTGAATAACATATACTATTGTAAAAACGTAGACACGTTCAATTAATTTCACGCCCACCCTACTCCGAGTCAGAGTACTTTCTGACATATAATCTAGTTGAAATAATACGTAGGCGAGTTACGATGGAACCTGCGGTTACCGAAATCAATTTACTCGAAAATACATATCTGCTTGGAGATTTTAAGGATTCTTCAAGACAAATTGTCGATTAAATGAAAAAAGTTCAAACATAACGACAGATGGACTTTTCGATAGAATCGCAATAACTCATTTTACCTTTGTCAATTTTAGGTCTCTACTTATTATCGTTGATTGTCGTTATCACGGTAACAGCAAGTGCTGTAGAAACCACGCTCAAGCCCTGTGTCATTGTACCAGGATGTCCATCGGAGAACAGTCCTGACTTTACCGTTCATGTTGTTTACAAGGACGATTGTCACAAATTTTACAAATGCAACGCTCGATGTGGATATCTGATGGACTGTCCACTGATACCAGGTACCACTGAGCGATTGGTCTTCAATCCATCTACCTGCCACTAAACCCACCCCTGCCACTAAACCCACCCCTGCCACTAAACCCACCCCTGCCACTAAACCCACCCCTGCCACTAAACCCACCCCTGCCACTAAACCCACCCCTGCCACTAAACCCACCCCTGCCACTAAACCCACCCCTGCCACTAAACCCACCCCTGCCACTAAACCCACCCCTGCCACTAAACCCACCCCTGCCACTAAACCCACCCCTGCCACTAAACCCACCCCTGCCACTAAACCCACCCCTGCCACTAAACCCACCCCTGCCACTAAACCCACCCCTGCCACTAAACCCACCCCTGCCACTAAACCCACCCCTGCCACTAAACCCACCCCTGCCACTAAACCCACCCCTGCCACTAAACCCACCCCTGCCACTAAACCCACCCCTGCCACTAAACCCACCCCTGCCACTAAACCCACCCCTGCCACTAAACCTCCACCTACCGCAATCGTGAACTGTGATATACCTAGAAAATGTCCACAAACAGGTATCACAAATATTGCTCATGAAAGCGATTGCCGGAAATATTATACTTGTCGCAACGGAGACAGGGATCCTAAAGCTAGCTCCTGTCGAGAAAACAATATCTTCAATCCGGTCACTACTACATGTGACGAAATTATAAATACAAAGTGCTATGTGACCGGCGGTTGTCATCCATAGATCAGTCTGTAATTAAGAGGAAGAAAGAGTACTGTTATCATTCTATATTAACAACTTACCGTTCCTTTCAGAATGTTCAATAAAAGGCACAAGTCCGTTAAGAAATTGTAGATAAGTCTAAGCTAATTAACCGTGTTTTTCCCTCTTTTTTCCGCATTACCTTTCGCATTACCTTTCTTCCAAACTGAATAATAAGGGGGGCACTCTGATTTCCATGGTAAAATTGCTTATTTTAATTGCATCGGTGAATTGCCGAGATTCTCCGGATTCGCGATTGTGTTACAGAAACTTGGTGGAACGTAGAAATGAACGATACCGTTCTGGTATAACGTGTATTCACAAATACAGTTTCGCTCAATTCGCTTTTAGAATTCGCTTTCGTCGGGAAAATCTCAACAGTTTGTTTGGTAAGCTTTTCTTGCCGCTGATAGTCGAATAAAACGAAGAAATCGTATCCAATCGTTCTTCTATTCTCTTTTAAACACCATCAGTTCAAGTGTAATCTTATTAAAACTGCCCCTCGCAATACTATCGTTTGTTACGAAATTATGTATATCGCGCTTCTATACCATCTAGTGTCCGAGTAACGTTGCAATTTCAACCGGAAGAAACTCGGCAATGTAGGTACTAGCGGAGCTTTCGTAAACAGATATCGGATAGATTTGAATGGAAAGCAGAAGCTTGTACATCTGAATCGTACCACACCACGTTTCGAACATTGTTACTCGCAACGTAATTATGCGTACGTAATGCGCGAAATGTGCAATCCTATGTGAAAGAAATTACGCGATAAAGAAAAAACTTTGATTAAAACCAGAGAAATTAAACGTGACATTGTAGTATGCTATGTTTCTTGACACAAGCTATCCTTGGATAAACGCACCTGTATCATCTGCCCACGACTAATTAGAATCAATTGTTATCAGAGTGTTCCATTGGAGCATAAAGTGGATTCTTTTGTTCTCGCGACGTAAAGCTCTAGGGGTAAGAATAACTGAACAGTAGCTCGCATGTAAAGCACGCGAATGAAGAAAAATAGAAATCGAACGATAAACGAATTTTCCACTCGTTGATACAACTATTTTTAACTTGCAAGTGTTCCTATTTAACCTACCAACCTAATCAACCTATTAGAGCGAGATTCTGTTAGCCCTACCCGTTCGTTCATTCTACTTCAAACAAAGATAACGAGGAGGCTGATTGATTCGATCGTTAATAATTCTCTGCAAATTAGGATGGTTATAATACGAGAAATAAACGGAAATGATAGAAAATATAAATATTCATTAGCGTCGATAAGATAAGTAGCAAGATAACGGTAATGTTTAGTGAGTTATAAAAGTAAGTTCTTCCGAATGAATCGCTTCAGTATCATTGACGCAGGTAGTATTGACGTGAACAGTTCTTCAAACTCATTAATTACCTGATTCTGTCCATAATGAAAGGTAGGTAAATCAAAATGTTTTCAATTATTAAATTATTTCGAGGATAATCCAATATACTATGAACCCTGCAGTTATCGATACCGATATACTGTAATGCTCTACTTGGAGTATTTAACCTTTTCTCCAGACAAATTGTCGATTAGACGAAAAAGAATTCATATGTAACGACGCGTTTCACCTTTGTCAATTTTAGGTCTCTACTTATTATCGTTGATTGCCGTTATCACGGTAACAGCAAATGCTGTAGAAACCACGCTCAAGCCCTGTGTCGTTGTACCAGGATGTCCAACGAAGAACAATGCTGACAATACCGTTCATGTTGCTTACCAGCCTGATTGTCACAAATTTTACAAATGCAACGCTCGATGTGGCTATCTGATGGACTGTCCACTGATACCAGGTAGCACCGAGCGATTGGTCTTCAATCCATCTATTCAAGTTTGCGATTGGCCCAGCAACGTGCCAGACGTAATGTGCCCCGTTATAAATTGCGACATACCCAGAGTATGCCCGGCAACTGGTAGCAAAAAGATAGCTAACGAGAAAAATTGTCGCGCGTTTTACCAATGTACAAACGGCGAGAAGAAATTTGTAGAGTGTGCAGAAGGTACTTTCAATCCAGAAACAGAATCGTGCAACGAAAATGCAGAATGCTACATAACCGCCGGTTGTGATCCATAGATTGTGTGTAATTAAGAGGAAGAAAGAGAGTTTTGTGTGCAGAGAAACTAACGTTTACCGTTGTCATTCTATTTAACACATACTGTTCGTTATAGAATGTTCGATAAAATGATAAACGTTCGAGAAAACAAATTTGTCCGATTGTAAGTTAATTAACCGTGTTTCGTTCGTTCTAGAGTTACATCTTGTACTTCTCTTTGTTACCGTGAAATGTACCGTTGGCACGATTTCGTACTTGCTAATAAAGTAATGAAAATTATCGATCCTAATCCTAATTTCAATCCTAATTCCGAGAGGCACTTTGTTTTCTATTGCAAACTCCCTGTAACGTATAGGGGTTGTATTTAGGGTACGTTTTCTCCGGGAAAATCTCAACGGTTTATTTGGTAATATTTTCTGGCTGCTGATTGCAGGTCAACCAACAATTCCTGATCATACAATGCGATGT